AATTATTTAATCAAATTATTTTATATAAAATTAATATTAAAAATAAAATTTACTATCATAATTTTTCATTACATTTACTATCATAATTTTCCATTTAAATTAATGATAAACTAAGGGGAAAAACTTCCTTGGATATTGAGTTGAAAAGGGCAATATAATACCAAAATTACCGTTTGATTGCTTTGTTATTCTCTGATGAAGTATGACCAAACTCTCCCTGTAAGTTTTCAAGGAAAGTTGCATAATTGGTTTTGTTATAATCGAATTATTATTATTATTATTATTCTTTGTATTTCCTATTATAATCACCTATATTTATTGAATAATCAATTACATTTTTAACATACTCTAATCTAACCGATTATAAAGAAAAGAGTTGAAAGTAAGTTCTACATATATTCTACACCAGTTATAGCTTTTTTGAAAGCAATTATATTTCACATCTACTAGCATAATTTACTATATAACAGATCAAAATCCAATCTAACATGCCATTATTTTATCTGAATAAAATTCACTATAACATGAATATAATCAACTATAAGACTATAAGTAATGATATATTGACAACTTTTTAATATAAATTTTCTTTATAATTTTTACTTGTTATTAAATGAAATTATATGTAATATTATAAGTTTTAATATAGTAAAAAGAATTAATTATTAAATAATATATAAAATTGTATAAAAAAAAGATTAAATTATATAAAAAATTATCTTTTAATTATTTTCTTAATTTATCTACCAAATTAATCTTTTTTATTTTGAAAAGAGTTTTATCATAATAAATTACGTATTTGCCCCATTAGCAAAAACTGTTTACGTAAAAAAACATTCTACATTGTATTTTTTAAGTAACCAATTATGTAAAAATATAATTGGCTATTTTATAAGTGTAAGGACATGCAAAAATTTGAAGGAAGACTTCCTAAGTTGCGTTTTAAATTATCATCCAAACATGGGATTATCACACATTCATGCTTTGAGCAATAGCAAACTAAACAGGAACAACTTCGTTTCCCGGGATATATTTATTCGCTCATTAAGGAGAATGTTTGGTTAAAATATTAATTTAGTTTTTTAATATTTAAATTTATATTAAATTTATCTTTAAATTATAAAAAATATTAAAATTATCCTCAAATATCAATTTTCCACAACAATCGTCCTTCCATTGACAGAAGTAACATATGGCACGATAAGTTAACGACGTGTAACAAAAGCATGTATTTTGAGAAATGATATTTATATAATTTTTTGATCTAATTTTTTTTATAATTTGATATATTATTAAAATAATTAATTTTTTTAATTTATACGAAGTCTATAATAATAAATTTATTTATTTATTTAATGATAAATTAAAATTATATAAAAAAATAAAACAAAAAAATTATTCTCATAATACCATTTATGTATTTTTTTTCATGACGTGACATTTTTGCTTTCCACGTAATCATATGAATATATTAAACATATAAAATTATCTAAATGCCCCCATCTTCATCCTCTAACCCCTCGTTTTCTCTCTCTTTTACCTCTCTCTCCCTTCTCCAAAAAATGCAGATGTCCCATCTTCATCCTCCAACCCTGTTTTTCTCTCAGCTCCTATCACCATCTCCAAAAACCACTCCAATCAACATCTCCAGCTTTTTTCTCTCTCCCTTCCGAAAAACCTCCACCATTTCTCTGCCTTCTCCGACCACCGTCGTTCTGCCCCTTCGTTTCCTTTACTCACCTCTTCCTCCACCGAGTTCCTCTCTTTCACTGTTCATCATCACCGTCTCACTTTTTTTTTCTTTTTCGATTCTAGTGTCTTATACACTCAACCAAACACTCACCTCATCCCATCCTATTCACCTTAATCCTTCAAAAGCCTGTATTCCGATCTCCGATCCATCTAAGGCAACGAAGGTTGAGATTGATTGACATCTCAGCATCTGTTTTCTGGCGGCTAGCTCTATCGATTAAGATTAGGGTTTATAGTGAAGAGGAGGGAAAATGGGGGAAGAGAGGGGAAATCTTTTAGCCCAATCCCTTAAACACGGTGTTCATCTTCCCTGATTGGCGGCTTTTTCGAGATCTACGGGTTTGAAGTGAAATGGGGGCAATTGTTGTTACTTGTGAGCGAGAAGATGATGAGGTAGAAGAGAATCGTAACTTATCATTTTGTTTTACAGTAGATTGACTCTGATTGGTTGAGATCCCTGTGGATGATAAATGGCCTCGTGGTTGCTCTTCTTCTTTCCTGGGTGCTATTTTCCTTCTGGCTTTGGAGAGGATTAGCATTGTTGACAATGCCCTGAAGGTATTTGACAAAGGGCCTGTTTGGTGGAGCTCTTGCGAGCTCAGACTTAGGACACTATTTATGGCTCCTGAATTTAAACTTTTTTAAAAAAAATTTACACTTTTAAATTTTTTTTTAACTTCAAAAAATTTTTAAACAATAAAAATTTAAAAATTTTAAATTCAAAATTTTCATAAACTTTCTTTTTATTTATTTTTCATTCACTTTTTGATATTTTTAAAAGTTAAATTTTTTTTTTAATAAAAATTTAAATTTATCACCCATAACAATGTTTAAAAATTAAAACCTCTCACAAGCCACGCAAGCTCAAAATGTCTTAACGAAAATATGAAGAATTTGAGCAACGAGGAGTGTTTATTTTGGTTGTGATTAATTTGAGGAAAGGGAGCTGTGATTTTTCTAGGGGATTTTTCATTTCTTTTTCGGGGTTTTTTTTGGCTAGTTATGTAATTCTATAAATAATTAATTAATGGTTAATTAATTTATTAATAATTTATTAATTAAAAATTATATAAATTAATTGAGATAAACAAGTCCCATTATAATTTTTTTTTTTTGGGTGAAATGGATCCACTGACACATGGCCACCAAATAACTTTCTGTTGGGATAGGCCCAATAGGCCCAACACCCAAACAGGATTGTGCATGACGGGCTTAGGTTACCACCCATTAGCCCAAGCTGAAGGGGCATCAGTACAAGTATACCCACGTGACTAAGGTCACGTGGGTCAAGGGGATGCTTACACGTGCAGATGTGTGTCAGCACCAAGGGGCTATAAATACCCCTCAACTACCTCCGATGAAGGTAATTAATCTCTACGCTTCTCTCTCTGCAATTACTCCTTGAGGGCATCTCTCTCTAGAACATTGAGTATTGCTGACTTGAGCGTTGGAGTGTTTTCCCCGAGGAAACATCATCGGGATTTTCAGGTGTAGAAGCAGCTGAAGACTTCAACAGTGTTGGATTGTGAAGCTGCCGAAACATTGGCGCCGTCTGTGGGAACCGAACAAGAAGTTGCGTAACTTAACCTGCTGAAAGACAAAATGGTTCGAACTTTTACAGGAGGTCACCCCCCAAGGAATGAGGTGAACGAACAGGAGGACGCTCAAGTATCTGAGCCCGGATTGAATGATTTTAGGCCAATGCCAAGAAACCTCTTCGTCGGGGGAGCCGAACAGGACCACCTAAGTGAAACAGATGACGAGAGAACACCAACTGGATACGCAACCCAACCTGAACAGTTCCAAGTTCCAACAGGAACAAGACAAAGACCTTCTAGACCGTACAATTCACAACGTGAACGACCTGAAAGGTCAACAGAACCTGCTCGGACAACCGAGCTCGAAGGGAGAACTAGAGTTCTCGAAATGGCAATGGGTAAAATCCTTGCTCGCCTAATTCCTGATGACCCCCTGATTCCTTTGCTGAACAGGGACACACAACCAGCTGCGGTTGTTGCAACTAGAAACTCCCCCGCTCTAAGCAATATAGTAGTGCCGACCAGGCCAAGGGGAAGTGGGAAGTTGAACATCGAGCCCAGCTCGTCTAAACACAGTGAAGAACTGATGAGAAAGAACGCAGACCTCGAAAGACAGCTGCGGGACATACAAAAGTCTATAGACGAGCTGAAAAGTCCCAGGTCTCATCAACAGACTCTGGATTTGGATAGCGCACCACTAAACTTATCCATTACGGCAGAGCCGTATCAAGAGGGATTCAAAATTCCCCACCTGGAGACGTACGATGGCACGGGTGACCCTGATGAACATCTGCACACCTATCAAGCCATCATGAGAATCCAAAACGCCAATGATGCCATGATGTGCAAAGTGTTCCCAGCAACACTAAAATCGACAGCCAGGAGGTGGTATCACAAACTCCCCAGACATTCAATAGATTCATTTTCCCAGCTCGCTATGCTGTTTTCTAACAAATTTGCGAGCCAAAGGGAGATCAAGCGCACAGCAACCGAGCTGATGCAAGTTAACTAGAAGGAAGGGGAGTCTTTGAGGGATTACATGCAGCGGTTCAACAAAGCCACCTTGGACATTGATAATGTCCCAGACACGATTTGCCTGTCCGCCCTGTTGCATGGGTTGAAGTGTGGCCGGTTCCTAGACGACCTGCTTGAAAACCCACCAAAGACGTGGAATGAGGTGAATGACAGGTCGGCCAGCTTCATACTATCTGAAGACTTTCAGTCGTCCAAGCGACGAGCTGATGACAAGCCGAACAAAGGCCAGGAACAGCAACCGAGAAGAGAAGAGAAGAAGAAGCAGAAGGTCAGCGAGCAATGGGGGAAGCCAGCTGAGTTCCCAAAATATGCCAATTACATCCCTTTGACCTTACCGAGGTCTCAAATCCTGGCACAAATCCAGCACTGGGTTAGGAGACCCCCACCCCCTCTGCATGACTCCCCGAGGGCAGACAAGAGCAAACATTGTGACTACCATCGTGTATATGGCCACAATACAGAGGATTGCCAACACTTGAAGGACGAGCTGGAGTTTTTGGCTCGCAACGGGAAGCTAGAAGGGTATGTTCAGAAGTCTCACCCTCAGCACCCCACTCAAACCCATTTTGTACAGGCATACGACCGACCTCAAGGACAGAGGTACCAGCACGGTGGGACGCAAGATGCCTATCAGGATAACCAGTATCCTTCTGAGCAGGGCAGAGCATACCGAGGACGTCCGTTCAACAGAAGAGGGCAGGGACCGAGAACTACCGCCCTGAATCAAAAGGACAAGAAAGGGGTAGGCTATACTAGGATACCCCCACCCTCTGGTACCATCAACATGATATCAAGCGGTGTTCACTCCGGGGGCCAAAGCGCCCGAGCCCGCAAGGCCTACGCCCGACAGGTGATGACTGTCAACAAGAACAGACCCTTAAAGCGACCATTTGAGGAAGCGGAATGGGAGAATACACCTATTACATTTAGCCCGGCAGACTACAAGCGAGCAGAAGGAGAGCCTGACATTATGATGCCCCATGCAGATCCTTTTGTGGCAACGGTTCATATAGGCAATCATAATGTCAACAAGGTGTTTATTGACACTGGCAGCTCACCGGATATCCTGTACTGGAGTTGCTTCCAGAAGATGCAGCTGGATCCGAGCTCGCTGCAGAGGCACGAGGGGCCAATATATGGGTTTGATAACCAGCCCGTTCCGGTAGAGGGAGTTATCACTCTTCCTATATATGTGGGCTCAGAACCACGCTTCAGGATGGCTTCCGTCACCTTCCTGGTCGTTAAGATGGAATCAGCTTTCAATGCTATATTAGGAAGAGCCACCCTGTGCGAGCTGAAGGCTGTCATCTCGCAACCCCACCTCTGCATGAAATTCCCAACTCCTCGGGGGGTAGGAGTGATCAAGGGGAATCAAAAGATGGCTAGAGCCTGTTATCAAGACACGTTCAAGAAGGTCGAGCTCGTCGCAGTCCCGGCGAGTGTCGAAGGTCGAATGCCAACCCAGCTAAGTCAACAGACAATGAGTATATCAGACAATGAGTATATCAGACATTGAGCATCGACCTGAGGGCGTTGAGCAGAAGGCAGAGCCAGTAGAGCCAGTGGA